ATATGATATATATATATATAAATATATATATATATATATATACATTTAATATAGATAATATAGTTACATATTATTAATAAATGACGTTGTTCCATAATGGCTGCAGTTATATTTTAGCTTTATTAAATACTTGAATGAATGGCATTTGTGGAGGCAATCAGTTTCATATACAAATTTTTGTGGTAACGGTAGTTTTTATCTTCAGTAGTAATACGTAGTAGAGATTGCCTTTTTGTACTAAATTGTACAAAAGTTCTTTTTCCCATTCGTATCCTTATCGTAAGACGTCTAAATTACTTACCTTCGCACTGCCGCTATAAACATAAAGATATTTGTATATCTAACGTGATAATTTTCGAAATCCAAGAGATGCATACTAATAACTATCAGTATGTAAAGCTGACTTTATACATGTATTGTTAATACAGAAAGGAATTTTTTCTAAACGAAGCAATTGTATTACACTACTTGTTAAGGATACAGATTCGACATATATGAGAGAGAAGTAGGGATTTAAAATTCTTGAAAAAATGCCATTGCGAAAGAAATTTTAAAGAACGAGACGCGAGCGTATACAATATTTAAAAGTATTTATTGCACATTTCATACACCATGTCTTAAGAAAAAATACGGGATATGATTAAATTATCGCGAATCAGTGAGATGTGCATTATCATACACAGGATAAAATATTGAATTGTTTTCTTTCGCGAATTATTTTGCAGTTGCAATATGATCCCCTACATCCGTGGTAATAAGTGTATTTGCAACAGATGTAGGTTGTCAATTGTCCGAGGCCTATTAAAAGAGAAAAAGAAAAAAGTGTTCTAGACAATATATGTAAAATGTTAAATGGAAAAGTATATGTATAATATTGGCTTGTTATAGATTGCCATTAGAATTATACTGTATACATGCGTAATTATTATCTCACATATTTATTACATGGTATTTTTCTCGAGTGAAAACAATCACAATACGAATCAATTGCATTTTGTACGCCATCAATCGGTTGTTCGCTATTTCGGCACAAGCAAGAGGTATCAAAAGGGATATCAGATATATTTGCGCAAGCAGTGAGAGATATGCAACACAATGCATACATTGCATTGCGATTTCGGCTAGCAACAATTCATTTGGTACTGCGAAATTTCAGAAACTTTAGGACCAATATTGTTAATCTCACGTGCTGTGTACAGTGTTGTTAGGCTAATATAAAACATTATTTTCTAGCTCAAACCCATGTATTCTAATCGTTAATTTAGTCGGTATTAACGTTCATTATTGTCATATTAAACATGCGGATATATACGCCCTCGATTCTCTTTCGATCTTCGTGTAAAATTTGTACTTTCATAGGTAGAGATTTCTAACGATTATAGATAAATAACTTATTCAGTGTTTGGCGTTAGGAAATAATATAGCGTTTACATACATTAAAGACTAATAAAATAATAATGATAGGAGATACATCGTCACGAGGTCGGCGGCGTAAAGGAGTTATCGTATATGGAAGTATTTACATTTACACCATTGCATGTAAGACGACTTCATTTACATTACATGAATTTCATTTTTCAGTTTTATCGATTTAAGAATTTACCGCTGTGAGACGTCGAATAATTACGACAAAAGTATGCGAGTGCTTCTAATAATTTTGAATTTGTTTTTACCGCTCCTCGATTAGCAACGCGCGCTTCTGAAATAAACTGCGCTAACTTATTTACAGAAACTAAAAATATTTATTAATTGTGAAAAGATATATATACATATACTCTATAATGCTGAGGATATTTTAGTGGAACGGATTTCGCATGTGTATACATACAAAAACATCCATCGCGTCCTTGTATGTACATGGATGTGTAACGTAATCAAAATTTATTTAACGGTAGTTCAAGTATAAATGTTCCGGTATAATAAAAATATAGAACTTTAGAACTTTCTATGCAATAACTCTTATCCCTAGTAGTGCAATTTGCAGTAAGTGACGGAGAAGAACGTATAAATATTTAACGCTGTTAATTTCTTTTTCGCCAGTCATAAGTTTCGTATGTCCTAACGTTATAAATTGGAAACAACTTTATGCATTAAATAATAGCAATTCACACATGCGGCGAATGCTGACATTACATCACCGATAGGCGAGCTTACATTAAGTAGTTCTTATGATCATAGTGTGTGATTTGTAAAGTGAAATAAAAAATTAAATGCAAATTGTTTGTATTAATTGTAACTTATATAAAATAAAAGATTTATTATATACATTAAAAAGAATGGCTTTTGCCCTTACTTTCATTTATCTATATATTACTTATACACATATTATTGTATTTATGTCTATATTCATAAGCATTTACAATTATGTACAAACGTACGTATTAAAAAATGGAAATGCACGCACGTTAAAACTTCGGATTAATAAAAAATATATTTATACATATACCATACAACTTACAAATTCTTTTAAACAATAAATATCATAAAGTAAATCTGTAGTCTCTCGAGTAGACTCAAAAGTGAATCGATTGTGACGTAGCCATTCAAGGCATATTTGCTATTGTTTTTAAGGGTTGATCGAGATACTTGGCCAACGCCTGCGCTTTTTCTCGCAGTAATCCAAATCCTACGTTCTCCTTTGCATACAAACACAAGAGTAAATTGGCTACCTCTGTGATAACGACTTTTCCTTCCTATAAAAATCAGAAAGAGTATAAGTCTTGGCTTCTGTAATCCGCTTCTGTTTAATCCGTTACTACCATGCAATCCATGAGAACAAACTGCAGTTCGTCTTCCTTGAAGGCATTTCGCCCATTCTTCTCGTAAGCCGTCCAAATGTTACTCGTGATAGCTGCTGTAACTCTAGCGTCCTTATCCCCGTAACCACTGTATGCTAACAATCCACCATCTCTGTTGAGCAATCTGAAATATGTGTATAAATATGTAATCAATATCTATTTAATGATACTTTAAAACTTGAAAGCATTCTACAAGATGTAGGATTTTAGAACTTTCCATGTAACAACTTGTATCTTTAACAGCAATTTACAGTGTTATTATTAATATTACTCAGACATCGATTTTTTGTTTCATGATTTCTATGTATATACCATCATGCTAAAAAATAATTAACAAAAAAAAAAGGTACATATTTTCATCTTGTGCAACTTTACTCTTGTACGAATGACATATGTTTCAGAATGAAACCTGAAATGCTGCAAGCAAATCGATACCGAAATCGTTCAGTTCACACGACATTTTATTGACGCTGATCACTGCAAAATTCTTACTCACAAAGTATTTTCCACGCCCCCGGTATTCGCCTGACTGAGAACCTGTGTGAGTGCCTTTGGCTTTAGCATTTTATTTTTGCTTTTATTACGAGCGCGGTTTCTATTAACAAATCCTATTTAATTACTATATATACATGTACACACGTAAATGTATATTGTAGCGAAATGCGTGAACTTATTTCGACGAACGTCACCCTACGTTCCACGATCAGCTGTTATCACCGAATCAACAAACCTGAGGATGAGAGGGGGAAAATTAAAGGGAGAGAATATGATTATACAAATTTCAACAATTGTTATTTCTTGAAACGTGTAACCTTCGCTTTTCTCGCGGTATTATATATCATGTAAAGTTCGTCGTTCGTAGATTTACATTATTTCATATTTTAAAATATATCAATGACATCGTCTCTACTCCATTCTATCAATGAAAAGTAACCTGCGCAGATCTCGAAAAAAGAAAGAGACATGTGCATGTCAAACTACAAAAAAGCTGCATAGAAGAAACTCGTGAAACATCGTAAGAAGAATATTAAAAGAAACGATTAATATGAAACCATCGATTCATGTAGCCCACTTTTACGTGACTACGGTTGCTTGTAAAAATACGGAAAATCTCGGGAATCAATTTATTTATAGTGCATATATTCTTAGAGAAAGAGTCACGTAGTGTCACGATCACGAGTCGTTATCGTGAGAAGCAGAAATTTCGAGAAAATAGCTCCGCGAGTGGCGCTTTCCACTACTTCGATTTTAGGGTCTCTAGAAGTTAAGAGCTGGACAACTCGATTAAAAATGGCGTACGTGTATAAGCTCGTACACATGTGCACTTAAATAGCTATCGGTTTGTACGATTGGTACAATCGGGCTTAAAAGAATTTTACAACAATGGCACAGCTGCTTTTTCTGCTAGAGCAGTCATCAGCTTGATGAAAAATGACAGCTATTCACTAAAATAAGGAAATACCTTCGGCTGGACTCTAAACTTCTAGGGACTCTACTCTGATTGCACAACTGACTCGCGAGAGACTGCGCGCAACATCTATCTATTCTGTCTTGTCAGTGAGTCAGTCTACTGAGATCAACGTTGGGTACGAGGTACAATTGCTGCAACAGACTTCGGGTAACTTCACGAGTCTTCCTTGTATTTTTTTAGTAACGTGATTAAAAGAGAATTGAGAAAAATGCCACGACGTGGACGTGCTGCCGCTCCTCCTCCAAGAACGTGAGTATAATTAACGTAACTTTATTGGCGAGATAATAAAGTTCATTGTGACGAAAACGTCATTACTCATTAGCGCTCCTTGTTACATCACTACGGTAAAGTTCACGTGCGTCTTTGACGCAGAATTTTAAATGTCCTTTTCCTCCCGAATGCGATCTTAAACGAATCCTCTGAAAAGTAGCTTCGTTTTAGCGTCAGGCCGAGTTCACCCGCGCCAGCCCCGTCCCGAGTACCAGCCCATGCTCCGCCGGCATCACCAATGGTAGCTCAGCCGCAACAGCCATCCCTCATGGGTCAAATGGCTGCCACCGCTGGTGGTGTCGCCATCGGGTCTGCCGTAGGACATACCGTCGGTCATGCCATGACGGGACTCTTCAGCGGAGGCAGCGAGGCTGCCACTCCTGCTGCCGCACAAGTACCACAAGCTGCTGCCAGTAACACAGCTGCGGCACCAGCTGCTGGTGCTTGTTCGTGGGAGGTCAAACAGTTCCTGGAATGCGCTCAGAATCATGACTTGAGCCTTTGCGAAGGATTCAATGAGGCGCTCCGTCAATGCAAGATAGCCAACAGTCAGTAAATTTTGCTCTCTTACCTTAGGCGCTTTCTAGCAACAAACTCGTATAATGCAGTATAACATAGTGAATTATTACATCCTTATTGTTTTGTCAATGATAGATAAAAATGTTACGTTGTGGGTAAATGCTTTCCATTCAGAATTCCACTTAATCAGTATTTGCAGTGCTCGCGAGTATCATTTCATTCTTGTTTAATATTTTAAAACAAGGATAAAATTATACATGCGGCACAAGTTGACACAAGTATCGTTCTATTTTTTTGGTACTCGCTGAATACAAAAAGAAACGATGCTTGTATCACTAATGAAAAGCATTCTTGTGTGTTACTGGATATCTACAATGTAATCTTTAAAAAAAACATCAAAATTAAAACAAGTATAAAAGGTTATACAGAGTCATACGCTGTTAACGAAGCGCGGAAATTACAAAAAAGAGAGTCAGAACGACTCTGAATTGAATCTATATGTAAGATTTTTTGTAATTTCCGCGCTTCGTTAACAGCGTATGACTCTGTATAGCCTTTTATACTTGTTTTAATTTTGATATTTTTTTAAACTGTAAAGAGTCTGTAATTCAATTACTTCGTTTTATTTATTTATTTAATGTAATCTTTACTTCATTTTTCCTTTTTACTCCTTTTTATTTTTTACCTTTTTACCTCATAACTTGTTTTTCTTCGTTTTCTGCCTGAGATAAAAATTAGCGAATTTTAGAAGAAACAAGAACTATTATAAAACGGTCATAATGAGGAAAAAAGCAAGAAATAAAAAGATACATTGAAAATTATAAGGCTTCATGGTCATAGACCATGTGTAAAGAAACTGCTGTCTAATTGTTTCATGTATTTTCTGTTTTCAGATATTATGTAAATTGAGATGCGGCGAATCTAGAAATGTCTAGGAGAAATTAAAGTACATGCTCTACGATCTGTAGACCGTTGACGAAATTTCTGTTTCTTTTTATTGTTATTACACACTGTAGAATAAAATAGTCCCGGATTGATCCATAAGATAGTAATAAATTTGTTTCTTTAAATTCTATAGTTGGCAGCTGCCTTTAATCTTTCCTGAATTATACACGAACTTGTATGTTACAATATAGCAATAAATTAAAACTTACATAAAATTACACTTTAATTTCGTTATTAATGAAAAAATTATAAATATCTAATCGCATCAATTTTCAAAAATTTAGAATATATTCGTACGAATTAAAATTCACTAAAATAATAAATTGAAAAGAGCAAGAAATAGACAGTATAGACAATGTCTCACGTTTTCCCACTTTATATTACAATACATAAACAAATAACTTATTACAGAAGATGAAAATAGCTCTTATCAGATGATACACCGGGATAGGGATTCGACAAATAAAAACTTCGGTATTCTGACCAGAACCAAGTAAGCGCGCCTCTATACACAAAAGTATTTGCACTTTATCATATAGTTTTTCTCTAATACTCATCCATTGTATATTTCGAAAATTAGTGTGTGATTTATGAATATATATATATATATATATATATATATATATTTATATATTCGTCCTATATAACGCGGTTATCTATAACACGGCTCTTTCTTTATTCGAGGAGAGGCAGTTAAACACGCACAAGTAGCACGAATATGATAGACTATCTTTTTTCTGTATTTAATACACGCATCATCACGTAACCAGCGATCGTGGCGATCGCGATTCCCAATCCTGCTTTCCACCAGACCAAGGAGTCTCCTTGCATTAGGCCGAATTGATTTATGTGTCTGAAATGTCGAAGCATAAGATTCACTGTCATTCAGTCGCGCATCAAAACGACTATTCTAGCATGATAAAACCACACTCTCAAAACATTGTGATTATATCTAACGATACACATAGCGAGCGACTCAGACATAAATACTGATGAAATTCCGATCAAAGTGACAATGTAGTTTTATCATACAAGTGATATTAAATCGAAAGGAAAATCTTTCCTGTTAAAGTATCTATCGAACCGACATCAATTAAAAATAACGTTTATGTTATAATTTCGCACTCAACAATATCAATTAATATACATAGTGTTATATAAGAATTACATCGTTGAGTGCAAAATTGCACTCAACATAAATATGTTATTTTTAGTTTGTGTCGATTTCAGAGTACATGAAGAAAAGCGGTTTGAATTGACAAAAAATTCGTAAGAGATTTGTTTCCTGTTGCATGCTCATGCAAGAATGAAACCAAAAAAGCGGTATATACACTATTAAGCTATGATTTAATAACAAATGGGCGCCGCAAGGAAGAAACACAAACGATAATGTGAAATAAAACCTTGTGAAAGAACTCCACCATGGAGAGGGTAAGGATTCGATAAGCAACATGTGGATTGTACGCCTCATATGACTGAAAAGAGCCAATTACATTGTAACATGTACGTTTGATTCGTGCGATAACATTTTTTAATGTGAGCAAGTCGCCCGACACATTTAATATGAGAAGATGGAGAGTGTTTTTCAATTGCTTAACACATTGTGACATAAAAAATATTAATTCACATATTTTCAATGTTAATAAATAATTTAATCCTTTTAATTACATACTCTTTGTTATCACGATAAGCCCATGACTTTAACGGAATTAAATTATTTATTAACACAAAATATGAAAACCGATTTGTACCAATTGTCCTTACAATACTATACATCGGTATAATATTGTACTATATATCACTTAACCCGAAGAAACTACTAGTCAGTTCACGAGATTATCGTGAATATGTAATATTCAATAAAGAATATGTAATTATTATTAACTGAAAATATGTGAATTAATTTGCTGTATCAAGATATGTCAAGCAATCGGAAAACACTCAGAGTTAACTCCATGAGCACATGCATCGAGAGGAATATATAATAACGATTAATTAAATGCAGTTTTTACAATTTGTTCAAGCTTCTAGATTTTTACAGTGTGAAATTGAAATTCGAACCAACCTGTCTCGGTAAAATAATACCCACGCTCCTTGAAAGCGGCTAAACACGAAATATCTTATTGTTAATACCGAATTATCTCCTTTTCTTTTCTTTTTCTTTTTCTTTTTTTTTTAATATTATGCTACCGTTTCTTAAATTAAATTACAAGAAAAGAACGAGGAGAAAGTGCGGCATAAAACGCTGTTTTCTGAAAGTAACCATTGGAAAATATCGTACAAGAAAAATAAGCGAAAAAGCTTTGAAAATCTCGACGCGTAATCTATACTAAAAGAAAATATCTACTGTATGTAAATCGAGACAGCCCGAGATCCATTCGGTAAAGTTTCATTAATATCGCTTTTAAAGTGTGTGATAGGTAAACTTACGGGAAGGCCGCCATCGTAGCTAGCTTGACAAAGATCTCACGTCGGATCGTTCGTGAGATGCTATATGGCTGCGGAGGCATCAGTTTGTACTTGCTGCAGAAGGCGGCCGGTTGCAACAAATAGCTCTGCTTTACCTCAGAAAGGTCACTTTTATTCGCTACTATCAGAACGGGAATCTTACTATCTGCGAAATATTTCTGCAAAAACATATATCGTTTATCGTCGTGAATATATTTCAATTGTTATAGCAGAAGACGCGATACTTACGATGTAAATACGTGCTATATACTCGAATGACTTTGGATTACTGGCATCGTAAACAAGAGCAGCCGCATCACACTGTATTTCCGCTGGTGTTAAAGCATCCTGAACGTTCAGCACGTTTATATCCTTCAATACTATAGTTTTCTCCTGCCCATACACATGTAACGTATTCACAGTAACGTGAGCGTTTGATGGTACTACCTTGTCGTTCAGTTTCTACAATTTCACATAAAGAGATTTAACCGGGACAGTTTTTTGGTCAAAGTTCCTTAAAACTAAAAGTAATCAGTGATTTACTTCGAGTTTAGGGTCGATAAAAGTTCTACATAACGTAGTCTTCCCGCTACTTTTCGGTCCTATAACGTGACAAGTATAAACATTCCTGCTGGACTGCTTTTTTGCCAGATCTACCTTCTTCTCACGAGTCACAACAATGGAGCTTGTTTGACACTCGTTGTGATACATGTTGTATCCCAGATATGCCATGTATTCCAAGGTTTTGCGAACGTTTGTTAATGTCAGCAATGCCCATTGACACATATATCCTTGAAATGTAATCCATCCCTGTGGAAATATTACACATACATTACGTCAAATTAAATTACTTTCAAATATATCTACATGCATACATATATATCGCTCTCAAATATTTTCCTGTTTCTAAAACCCACATATCAGTTTCTTGTTGTTCAACATTCTTTTTATCGATTTATTCTATACAAGTTTCAAATTCTAACAGTTTGTTTCCATTGAAGCCTTCAGCATACTTTTTTTCTCCTACTTAAAAAAGAATTATAAAAAAGAATCGATCGGTTTCAGTGGAAACAAGTTAGAAGTAACACTGATGATGCAAACTACCTTTTCGTTCGTGGCTACGGTGTACTTGTATTCATCACCCCATGGTGGGAAGAGACATCGCGAAAACAATGACTCCATTTCCAAGGGTGAGAGAGCTCCGTCGCGATCGCGATCGTGCTGCATAAACAATAACGTTAGGAATTCCTGTCCCTTGTGCGATAATTCCGTACTGCAGCCGGATGGGACTTTCAATCTAAAAACCGGAGTTATTTAATGACATTTATTGAAGAAACTTTAAGTGGCTTTGTGACCTTTGTACGTACGAAGGATGAACATATTCTTTTGACATTTGCAGCTCATTATCGTATCCGAATTTCCTTAACACAGCCCAAGTCGTTTCGTTTCTTCCGCGTTGTATGAATAAACATTGTAAGTACATAAAACCTACATAATTGCAATTAGTAAAATTTTGTGTAAATTTGCTTATAGATTTGATATTGGAATAACTGAAACGTATCTCACCTTTCATCGTGACACATCCATTACATATACCGTCACAGATGTTTTTTGATAGTACAGCTTTTACATCTTCCAGCACTTGCGGTTGTAACGGTGTGTTGAAGCACCACTGCTGAAATGCGTTCAACTCCATATCGTTTAAAAGTCCGTCGTTATCTACATCGCATATCTGCATTGGGGAAAAAAATAGTAAAATTTATATTATAATATTGATTTTTTGTACAATATATTTATATGTAATATTTACTTTAAAAATTCGCTGTAGGGCAGTTTTGCATTCTTCTGTAAGCTGAAATAATAACGGATTGAATTGAATAAAAATTTAGATGTTAAATTAAAGGGATACAAGAGAGATAAATATCTCACCTCCTGTGTGTCATAATTATATAAAGGTGTAGTCGGATGCAGAACTGCCTTTTGTGCATAATAAAATGTTTCCGAGACATTCTGAAGTGTTTTTGCCGAGCACTGGAAAGAGATATATCACATTCTTTTTTATATAACAATTCTCTCAATTTTCGTATTTATCAGCCAAACAGCATCTTACCTCTATGCAACTTTCAATCTCCGTGAACTCTTTCATAATGGGATATACAGCCTGGAATTGCAAAAGTGAAAGTTATTAACACAGATGTGCTAAACTAACCAGATGCGCTACTGTAATCTCCATAAGAGACTGCAAACCTCTATGGTGGAATAATCCACGAGATCAATCTTGTTGCCTACAAGCACAACTGGACATCGATTGTCAGACGAGCATCTTCTGATTAACGGTAGCCAGTAGCTAGCAGCTCTATCCAGAGTGTCCTCATCGTCCACGGAGTAAACTACACATATCACGTGTGCCTTTTGAATCTCTTCTGCTAGTTGATCCTCTGTTTGCTCCACCGCTACAAACAACGCCAAATTTTTGCTTTAATATAGGACAAGCGAAAATATAGCTGATGCAATAAATTCTCTAAGAAATTATCCATACAGCAGAAAATCCAAAATCGAGACATAAGATGTATTAAGGATGTTTTAGATTTTAGACGTCCCAATTTTAGAACGACATTCATAGTCGATCAATAATTACATTGAAAATCATCTTAAGTATAATCTTAAGATGTCATAAATCATAGATAGTATAATATTTGTATCTTAAGACATTACTTAAAGCAATTAGGAAATAAGAGCTGACTTTAGACTTGGTGTTGTCTGAGTCAATCATGTGTTTAGATGTCTTAATTTTGAGCATTATGAAGCAGTAGCACTGCGATGCACAGAATTGGCAAAAAGAGAGAACTAGAGGAATGCTGGTGGATACCTGAGTAATCGACTATATGCGTCGGCACCTGCTCCGGAGTGACATCCGCCGGTATCGTGATCTCCTCGGCCTTACTCGGAACCTCCTCCGCGTACTCCTCACTCACGAGGGACAGTATCAGCGAGGTCTTGCCGACGCCGCGCTCGCCGATGAGCAGTATCCTGACGTTGCGTCGAGACGTGACCGGGCGCTGCACCATGCTGTCCGCCGACTGTACCGCTTCAACAACGGCGCGTTCAATCCCTCGCGAACGACATCCTCGCTCCGCACCTCCCGGAGGTGTCACGGAGATCGAAATATAACCTCTGCACTCTACCGCCGCGTACAACACACCAGCCTCGGCAACTCTATTTCACGTTGACATTTTATTTAACGATAGAGATCATCGACACTCTTTCTACTTCCTCTCTCTTTCTCTCTCGCTCTCTTATAGAATTTTCTTCCTTCACAGCGTGCCGTAGAAGGATCGCACTTTGCCTCAACGTTTCATCGAGATCAGTTCCGATCTGGTCGTCGCCGCTGGAGACTGCTGGAGACTAAGTAAACCTCGGCGGGTTCGACTGAAGTAGTAACGCTCCGAGGGTGGCCTTTTCAAGGTTACCTATGCCACCGCAATGAATGATACTGTGTGTGTAAATGTACATACATACGTAGCGGTGTGCGCGCATGAAGATCCGTTCGTTTGCGCCTAAATGCTTACGTTTATCTGTAAGTATAACGTACAGTGGGTAAGGAAGATGATGTTTCCACTCGTCTTGACTGTGGATTTGTGGAATTGTTTTACACGAAAAACGACGAATGATCTTATATATAAAATACATGTCCAGAAATCTTGACAGAAGCGTTATTCTAAGGCGGGATATACTTTTCTTTTCGAAAGAATTGCCATAAGAATTTTCTGCAATGAAAAATATACTTTTAGAAATTTTTAACTCGATCAGTTGAAATTTGCAAAGTCAGTCTCCTTTTTTTTCGTAAACAACAATCAATCTCTAATCAATCTGTCAATTAATAAGTATAATCTAATTAAAATATAATTTTGTAAACATTTATAGATATAGAATATAATTGATTTTTTATGGGAGTACGATATTGTATTATTTATATTTATAGTATATAATATATGTTTTACTTTAGTTTATTTTACAATAATATGTGTATAATGTATAACAATTGTAAAAAAAACTGATTTTTCTGTAGAATAAATAAATATAATATATATATCTGATCGATTATAATTATATTTTAAATTTAGATTGTTTTAAAAATTAGCTATATATTGTTTTTTTTTAGCAAGTTTTGAAGTACCGTGTTTAGCTTTTCTTTTTTTCAAGAATTGGCGACACTGATAATTGGTCACGCACGTGGACATATGTTGATCAACGTTATTTGTATGTATTGATCGTTCGAAAGTTCGAAGTCGGACCAACCCAGCAAGATCTCGCTGGCTTTCTGAGGTGAACATCTGATAAATGACGCGAAGCTCTCTCGTAACCGTATTGATGCTATTTTGCATAGCAAGGAGTATTCGTGCTCAGATTTATCAGAACATGTCTAGTCTCGCCGGAGTGCATTCCGTAGCGTACGTCACGGTGCCAAATGACGCAGTTGCGAAGAAATTAGCACGGTAAGAGTAACGCTAGACAATAAAAAAGGGCTCGTTAACACGATTATTATATGCCTAAAAAATATTCCTACAAGTATTCCTGTATAACGCAATCTTATTTATTTATTTTTTGTTCATGAAGAGGTTTAGTCGAAAACAAGCTCGCTGCCTGCGTTAATATCATCCCACAACTCACGTCTATGTAAGTTTCTCTTGTATTTACATATTGTATAGACGTTTGGACCAGAATTGTGTTTTGAAATAATTATCATTTTTTCACCATGTGTATATAAATACACAGTTCGAAAGACATGTATATCTGTGTTCCTCAATATACGCAGTTGTACATATATATATATAATGTATTCATATTTTATTTTGTGATATTATTAATGTATAACAGATATCCGCATATTTAAGCATACTTACGGTGTAAACACACAATTTGCAATTAATCTCTTTGCCCATAAATAAGTTGTCTAATTTTGTTAAAACTTTTAATGTATCAGAGAGGAGAGAAAATATAAAAACAAGTTATAACAACAGTTTGATATAATATAACATATAACTTTGATATAACATATAAAAATAATATAATATTTTATATTTCTATATGAACAATTTTTGGATAATCAAAGCTTATATTCTTCATTGTTGCACTATTAATTGTACTAAAGCTTCTATCTCGTTTATATATTTCTAATTATTAATACTAAAGTTAGATATGTTAACAATCATACAACTTAAGTACTTATTTTTGTATTATACTATTCAATTTATAATAATTTATATGTTTTACCTTTGCTTGTGTATTGTGCACATGAAAAAAATTGCATAAACTTAATGTAAAATTTCATTTAAATGTAATCTTGAAATATACAGCACAATCCTAGAGAGAGAGAGAGAGTTGGGAAAAACTTTCAAGCTCTCAAAGGCTTTTGATTAAAGAACAAGTATTGTCTTCACAGATATGAATGGGAAGGAAAGATACAGGAAGAACCTGAACTTTTGCTGGTAAGATTTATCAAACTTTGTAATGAATGTATACACTTAGTCATACAGATATAAAATTATTATTGACCATCTATCTGCACATAAATTACAGATGATAAAAACCAGGACGGAGAAAGTAGATGCTCTAACAAAATATGTCAAGTGAGTTAAACATGACTAATATATTTTAGAAATATGTCAATGTTTATAACTTAATCTTTTTGCAGAGAAAACCATCCATATACAGTTTGCGAAGTAATCTCTTTGCCTGTAAGTTAATTTACTAGTATATTGTTCTATGTTAGAATAGCTTTAAAGTACTTTTATACAACTAAGGAGAGAAACAAAAAAATAGACAAAAATAGAGACAAAATAACAATAATTTAATACGTATAATGAATATAACATTGGATAAAATGCACATGAAATATAAGGCACAAGAACTTCATGATTAAAGATACAAACTATTCAAACATTTATATTTTAGATACAAAATGGAAACAATGATTACCTGAAGTGGATCAGTGAAGTAGTGCCATCGCTTGATAAAAATGCTTAAAATAATTAAAATATATAATGTATACTTAGAAGAATAATAATTCATTGATAACATCAAGACTGGTTAATCTTACTTCTGATTACTGATTACCGATTCATTGTAAAACTACGGTAGGAATAAAAAAGAAACTAATCATAACATTCATGTAATGAGATAATCTATAGTATGTGGGACTCACACATTACAAACAGAAAATTGCAAATTTTTCACTTATATTACAATAATATATTAATTATTAAACATGCCAAGTGATATTAACCAATCTGCCATCTTACAATATCATACGCAGTCATTCATATCATATTGTGTATCTCTAAACAATATCATGTACTTATATTATACAATATAGTATAAAGGTTAATTTTTATATATTATTTTGAGTAAAACACACACCAAACCTTTCTATATAATATTCTCCATTAAACTAGCAACTCCATCAGCAAAATCAATTTGTTTGAATATATTTAATACTTTTTTATATCATACATATATTTATGAATACATTTTATTTTGACTTACACCATTAAAAGTAATTTTGTATTCAATCATATTTATTTCTGATTTTAATCCTTTTTTTTTAAGTGGTCCTGTCAATTTGGTAATTAAGTTTTCTCAAAACATACATAGAGGAAGCGCCTAATACCAGATACCTAAAGTTTTCCCAAAATTGGAGTGAATCGAAAATGAGAATCAGTAATGGCCTAGTTTATACTGTGCACTTGATACAGATACCAACTAGTAATTTTCTACTGAATTATCTTGAAGTTTGTTCGTGCCACATGCTCCAACATGCTCCTACTTCAAAATGTTCACGGAACCAATACGAGCACAAGTGAGTGGCAGTATATTGGAGTATTGCAACGCAAAATCCGAATCTACAATGCATTTTTAAGCCTTATCCAATGAGAAATGAATTACAGTCGATTATTCTCCTCGTATTTGACTGTAATTGATTAATTTCTTAGCTTAAAACATCTATTGTAGGTCTGAACTAATTCGGCGTATGATTAATTAAATATATATATTTTATATTAATTATATATCTATTAATATATATATATATATATATATATATATATATATATATATATATATATATATATATATATATATATATATATATATATATATATATATATATATATATATATATATATATATATATATATATATATATATATATATATATATATATATATATATATATATATATATATATATATATATATATATATATATATATATATATATATATATATATATATATATATATATATATATATATATATATATATATATATATATATATATATATATATATATATATATATATATATATATATATATATATATATATATATATATATATATATATATATATATATATATATATATATATATATATATATATATATATATATATATATATATATATATATATATATATATATATATATATATATATATATATATATATATATATATATATATATATATATATATATATATATATATATATATATATATATATATATATATATATATATATATATATATATATATATATATATATATATATATATATATATATATATATATATATATATATATATATATATATATATATATATATATATATATATATATATATATATATATATATATATATATATATATATATATATATATATATATATATATATATATATATATATATATATATATATATATATATATATATATATATATATATATATATATATATATATATATATATATATATATATATATATATATATATATATATATATATATATATATATATATATATATATATATATATATATATATATATATATATATATATATATATATATATATATATATATATATATATATATATATATATATATATATATATATATATATATATATATATATATATATATATATATATATATATATATATATATATATATATATATATATATATATATATATATATATATATATATATATATATATATATATATATATATATATATATATATATATATATATATATATATATATATATATATATATATATATATATATATATATATATATATATATATATATATATATATATATATATATATATATATATATATATATATATATATATATATATATATATATATATATATATATATATATATATATATATATATATATATATATATATATATATATATATATATATATATATATATATATATATATATATATATATATATATATATATATATATATATATATATATATATATATATATATATATATATATAATTAATCATCTTTAAGCATACAAATCAACTTAAGAGTATATTGATCTAGGTCTAAAAAATTGGCCAACCACATTCAAATGTGAGAAGAAAATTTGTCTACGATTAATCAATTTCTTATGGTTTGAGGCTTAAAGTTTAAGTTGTACATCTTAAAATTATATTGTAGACGCCGCTTTAATCTCTTTCAGGTACAGGACAGTGTCTGGTACTATACGCACTTCCTCTAACACAAAATCTACAATACATAAAAAGTACTAAATATTCAAATAGTTTAGCTAATATAATCCTATTAGCTTAATATTCTTTTATCTATTCATCCATCTAATGGCACTACGGTTTAAATTAGACATGGGCCTGGAGCCCTATTCTTGAAAAATATCGCAAAAAACTAGAGAAATAACAACATAATGCAGAGTATAGTATTTCCCTACATTTTCGTAATATTTTTCAAGATTAGGGCTCCTGCTCTAAATGGATAATCTAGAGCAGGATAATTTCGAAACAATGATTTTTCCGGAATTGGATTATTAGCCTAATGTCCGATCTCCAACGTGGGAACATATATCTATTGATATGGGATCTACAATTTAATACCGGATCCAAACGGTGGTAAAGTGTATTAATCACCAAGAAGCCATTTTAGGCTCTTAAAACGTGAAAAATCGCATATGTGAACGCAAGAATTGAATCTGTATCTACAGATCACGAGTCAATCGAATCGAGCAGTAAGCCACTCGACACCTCAGTTTAATAAAATTACGTTATATAAAAAGCTTATACAATTATACTGATGTAAATACTTGCTCTTATATATATAAAATATTTAACTAACTTATTATTCTCACACATAAAAATAAAATTTTGTGTCGTACAATATTTAAAATTAACAAGATTCAAGTTTAAAATTACTAACATTTTACCAATGTGTAAGTATAATGTACCTTTTTGCTCTATAAAAAGGTATACATACTTATATATGTTGTAATTTACATACATGACTTACCATGATCTAGATATATCATAAGTTTATATAAAAAATATAATTTTCACACTGATAAATTGTCAATTTTCATTACAAAATATATTATAGAAAATTATGTTGAAATCATCAAAAATAATTTCAATGAATGAATATAGACTCAAAATTATTACAATTAATTCAAGATTTAAATATACTGACTTGAATATTTAAAATTAAAATAAATGATTACAATAAATACAACTTGGAATAAAATAAAGGAAAATTTAACTCTGTGATCCACAAATAATTAAATGAGCAAGTTACATCAGTAACTTAATATACGAATCTATGAAGGCGATTATCGTTCACCTTTGTAACCAGGGTATATTAATAATAATGCAGACGATAATGCGTCATTAATCTTCATATCATAAGTATTACCTAGAGAAAATCGACATGTAGGACAGAAATAAATCTCGGAATCAAAACTTCGTATTAAGCATTTTAAACAAATGTTATGTTCACAAGGTGTCGTTACAGGATCGTAAAGTATTCCGAGACAGCAAACGCACTTAAATCTGCAAGATATAAAATTTTATTGTATTAAGTTGATTACTGAAAGCTATTTAAATCATTTATATTTAATACTTTATATAAAGCATATTACCTCTCTGAGACAGAATTCAAGAAGGCGGGTTTTCCATTGATCAATGTCGCTTTACATTCATCCCACAATTTAGCATTTATTTTATCATTTTCTATTAATTCTTTCAATTCATCCTCTAAATCAAAAACCAACTTAGATTTTTTAGATTTCTTAATAGGCATATTGTTCTCTTCGTTACTGTCACTGACAGATCGTTTCTTAGATGAGTTCTCGTTTACGTTACTTTCTGGACTAAGATATCCGTCAGGATACAATATCTTTAAGCCAAGAAACTCTATTCTTTTTTTTCCTTCTTTAGTCCATGGTGCAGGAGTGGGATCGTCTCTTCTTAATACATACTTCCACATGAGAAAACCGTTACTTGTATCGGGATAATATTTTACCACTTTGTATATACCATCGTATCTGTGATAGAATAAAAAAATGTTAAAGAAGGACCGTTAAAGAGTGATATACTGTAAATCTATAAGAGTACAAACAAAGCGTTCAATGTACCTGTTACCATCTTTTGGTGCATATTTACTAAATTTTCCTAATTTATAATTGCGTACAACTCGGACTGGCTTTCCTTGCTTCCAGTTCGTAGAAGCCGATGCGCCAATTTTAGTATTTACGGGAGCATTGCAATTCTTAGCTAATGCCAAATTCATTCTGGTTAATTCCTGGTCTTTGCTTTGTGAATTGGTTCTTTTGTTACCTGCATGTACATAAAAAAATGTAAATATACAAGTATGCTCGTACATGCATTGAATACATATAGACGTATTTTATAATTGGATCACGATAAGCAACAATTTTCTTTAATTTGATATAGGATACCTGATAAATCTCTACCACCCGAGCCGCTATATAAAAACTCATCACCATTGTCGTAGTCTTCCTCATATCCACCCGACAAAACAATAGAATATGCACAGTCACTTGCTCGTCCATGAATACCACCTACAGGCGGTCTATGCACTCCTGCTTCCGAAACCTAAAGAAATTTCTTTTTCATATTTATTTAAAAAAGATTTATTAAGATCAAGACGCTATATAGAAGAGAAGATTATGTAGAATTTGTTTTCTTATAATTATGAAATGATAACCTTGGTAATCCAACAATATTATAAATGTACAAATAATAATTTATTACAATGTCATATACAACAAATCTAAATTTACATAAAAATGTGTCGACCATCATCTTCTTCAATACAAAAAAAAATAATAGACAATAGAAAAATAATTATAATTCGAAAAATTGTAAAAGTTATTTATATTCGCAAATACATATATTTATAGTCATTATATATATAATTCTTGTTATAATAATGGTAACTAGTAAATTATTAAAACTGACTGAACGAAACTATAGTTTCTGCTAAGGTTTATTATTAAAACTGACTGCTTTCGTGTGTTCAGTCGATTTTAATAATTTACCAAAGTTACCATTATCATAACAAGAGAATTATGCAAATAATGATTACAAATATATTTGTATTTGTCAATATAAATAACTTATAATTTTTTAATTATAATTATTTTTTGTCTATTATTTTTTCATGAAGAAGATTAAAACAATGGTCGAAACGTTTACATAATTTCAGATTTGTTGCATATGACAAATAATAAATTATTATTTGTGCATTTATATCTGCGTTAGCTCATTAAGGCTATCATTTGTTAATTATTTGTGAACATTTAAGTCTTTAATTATTCGATATTGTTTTTTTTTACCTGTATTCTGAACATCCATGTAGTACCGACATCCACACCCGGAATCGGTCCGCTGTGATTATTAGGAACCATATAACATACTTTTTGTCTCCGAACACAAGCCATTCCACCACCCCAATTTCGTTCCTTTGCAGGGCGGATAAGTTTCTTTTTTTTTAATTTGTCTCCAGCCTGTGACAAATCATATAGTAATGGCACTGATAATAAAAATTATGGCAAATCATCAATAAAAGTATATATACCTTGACAATTTCGTTTTCATCGTTTTTGCATTCAGGGCAATACCAATAAGATTCCTCTGGCAGTTCTAGGAGTGGTGGATTCAAGCATTTCATATGAAACATATCGTCACACTCGTCGCAAATCAAAAGCGTATTCTCCTCTTCTTTGCCCGCACAGACTTTACAGCCGCACACTCGACACTCTTCATCAGGATTGTCCTCGCACTCTTCACAATTAGGAGCTATGGGTCTGCGTTTGCCGTTACTTATCAGTAATTCGTTTGTCCTTTCCGTTAATAATTTAGGTGCTTCTATAGCATATATATCTTCTTTGACCTTTTTTCGAATATTAAGACAAGTATTGCTGTGTTTGAAGAAAAAATTAATACAAATTAAAATTTTTTAATATAATTTTTGTAGACTTAAAACTTTACATTTTATTGTTTTGTATAGTATAGGCTGATATAATGACAGAACAAAAACATACCTATTGATATGCAATTTTCCAACTAACTCTCGCAATGTTCTTTTCTTTATTATTTCAGTTATTGTGAAGTCAAACCACAGTCCAATTTTTTCCGGATTATCTACATTATAATTGATCATGACCTTTTGATCAATAGATAATTTGTCAAATGGTATAGAATATTGTGCACGTGGGCGTATACATGCTTCAGGTATATCGTCTGGACACAATGAGTTATCAAACTCCCATGATATTTGATAATACATTTGGATGTCCTTTTTATAACAATTTTTTACAATAGCTTCATACCAGGCACCAGTCTTTTCATACATACAATCAACTGCATCACCAATTTTATAATATAAACTCTCAGCTTTTTCTAATTCTGTTTCTAAATCTTTTTCTTTGTTCACTTTCTCCTTTTTTGTATTTTTTATATTCTCAACATCATTTACTTCTGTATTTACCATAAGCAATACGGTGTCATTAAAATTGATATTATAATTATCAAGATAATTGCCATTTTCTAATTGTTTTCCAGAGAAGAATAATCGTTGCAAGTCGCTTTTAATATTTAGTTGTTTTTCGACCTTACACTGAATAACGGAAAATATCCATGTAAATATTGTTAAGTAATACTTATGACCTAATCTTATATTTCAGAAAATAAAATATAAATATTTTGAAAAGCATTCAAATTAAAATTATAACATATATAATATTTTAACAAGATTGGACACACAGAGTAACCTCTGTGTCTGATTCCAAATGGTTTCAGAGTTACTTCAAGATATTGAAGTAAGAAAACATAAATTATAGTAAATATCATTTAATATTTGTTATTTTATTTAATGCTTTATAAAAAATGTTCAAAAATTATGAATTCAAAATTTCACAAATTAATAAATTGTTTCAGACTTGTTGAAGAACATTTGGAATTTTACAGATGATAATGGAAACATCAATTGTCATAATTTTATTAAATCTTGACCTTACACCGCTTCAAGTATTCTCTATAGAAAAAAAATAAAAGATCTAGTCTATCAGAATAACATTTATAAGCATGTTTAGATTTCTACCTGGATGTTTCTTGGATTTCAGGTAATCTTTGTTGTTAATCCAATGTCAAACAAGGACATTTTGAGAAACATTCAAGTAGGAATCGGAACAAGCTTCAGAATATAACAAACATGCACACAATATTAACAATTGATGCTGTCAAAATCATCAGTAAAAGTCAAAATAATTTTCAACAAATCTAAACAATAGTTCTAAAAACAATGGAAATGACAAGATGATAAACAATACCTTTAACTCTTCCACAGTTGTAAGTTTGGTGATTTTCAATGATGCTTTTTCGCTCCCGTCTACACTCTTTATTTTAATGGACATATTAATGAAATAAAGTTGTTGTCGCTAGATAAAAAATAATCGGAGTAAAGATCCAGATTCTGCAAAAAAACAAAAAACTAGAGGTTAGAACGGACACAACATCAGACTGAAACATATAAACACATGTTAAGGTTAAAAATCGAAAGAACGAACGGTAAAAATTTCGCTATTTATCCTTATGCAGCTTACTTATTCGTTATTGTATGATGATTAATGATCTCAACCAGCTCCGACGAACGGTCGTTAGCAACTTTGGCGGGAACGCAAAAGCGGGAACAGATGTTAGAACTACGGTTACTAAAGTGCGCTGAAGTGCGTCACGCAGCGGAGGGGAGAAGGTGGCGGAAAGGAGAGAGGGAAGTAGCTCGATTAATCAATTCTTACCGATTACGGTGTACTGTTACGGTCAGTATTAAAATAATTTCTTCGATTAGAGACAGATTAAAGTCAAATAGAGATACAATACATTTCACTCTGTTACAGATTTTACTGAATAGCGTGATTAAGCGTGTTCGACTGTAGCGAGGGTTTTAAACCGACGTGGATTGGATTAAGGCTTTGCTATTGGTTGATGTTACGTGCACTCCACCAATAGTAGAGCTCGCAGCGTTCATTAATTCAAGTCGGATCGGTTAAAAATCCGCTCTATATCTCGTGTAGAAAAGTTGGCCCGAGAGAGGCGCTATGGAGAACCGAGAAGGGAGCCATCTGTGTGGGCCGGAAGGCACACAGAGCGGGCTGCGGAAGTTATGCAGGAAACGGCAGACGGCGCGAACGGCAGGGACCGGATGTATATGTACGTCGGGTGTCGAAACAGCAATCCGACACCTGTCGACATCCGCGAAACGGTTACTCGGGTGGGAGGTTCGTGCGCCGCTCGCCCGCCGTCCCGTCACGCGGCGGGAATAAATGCGCGCGAGTGCCGCGGATCGCGGTGCCGACGGCACGGCGCGGCGTCGCGCTTGACACCGCGAGTGCTTGTCGACGGTGACGCCGTCGGCCATGTTTGTTGTGTAGTTTCGGAGGGATGATAAGCGCACGCGAGACGGCGTCGAGAGATTTTTGAATGAGACGCGTGTGTGAGCCTCGGCCGCGTTACGTCCGTTCCGTGCCGGGGTGCGAGCGCGCCGGCCGCCGCCGACTCGCCGCGGAGTATGGTAAGAAACCGCGGGTGGTGTTTCCTCATGCCCGGCCGGTCCAGTCGCCGATTTTCGCGCGAATTTTCACCTGTCCCACGATTGTTTCGCTCACTGTGGTTCGCCGTCACCTCCGCGCCCCGTTCCCCCTCTTGCCGATCTATTGCCGCCGCCGCCGTTCCATTGCGACGCTATGCAACGCGACGTAACGTCACGTCACGTCAAACGTACTTTGAAAAATTCTTGTGCTGGCAGCACATAACGAGCGAGCGATCCCCTATCAATCAGATTCTAGAATTCTCTTTGAAGAATTCGTCGACCGGCATAAAACTTCTCCCGGCGAAACCGCCGCGAACGCGGACGTACAGACAGCGGTTCGCATGTAAATCGATATACGGCTCGCGCCGCTTGTATGTCGCGGGTGTGAATGTGTGTTCGCACACGGACGTCGCATACGCAGCGGGGACATCGACGAGCGTGGGCGCCGCGCCGCAAGAGGCGATTCCAATGTGTGTGCGCCCCCGCGCGCCCTCCGTCACGCACACAGACGCGCTTCCGGAACGCCCCTTTTTATGAAACGATCGAACTTCTTTCCCGCGCGATCTTAGCCGGCGCGAAACGTCCCGCGCCGCCCGCGCGCTGACGTCTCGTGAGAGATCTCGGCTCTCTTTGAAAAATATCGAAACCATACACACCACTTTATAGCCCGTGATTACTTTGTTTAGCTCCCGCACACCGCGGCATCCGCGACGCTTGACAGATCCGAAAAAAACGCTCAGGTCGATGTAAATAACGATTTCTGACATCAACATATATCACCTTTAATTATTTCGAAAAATCGCGATAAAAATTGAAATTTTTAACATCCTTTTAAAAAGGAATTAAAATGATTTTCTTCTTAAAAATAGGTATGTTGTTAAAATCTTCAATTTTTGTCGCAATTTTTTATGCATACCAAAAAAGAGATATTTTTCTAAAGAATATGATTTTTAGAAGCAAAGTATTTTTTAATACGTGTTTTGTATTAAGCCAGAACTTATTGGACATACGTTTACTGTGGAGACTTCAAGATTGATATTGTACCGTTTTAGGACACTTAACAACTTTGTTGAAATGTGGCTGAGAAGTGAACGGATTAGCAGGAGATTGCGTGGCCGTTTAAATTTAAGCGGTGTAACGGCGTCAAAGGCAACCAGCCATCGAACGCAAGTTACGAGAAAAGTACAACATATTAGTAACAGTAGTCGAGTAATAACATCAAGTAAATGCAGCCGATTGAGTCAGTGGCGACGTAGATCATCCAGTTTTCTAAAAGAAGTAAGTTGAATGTCTACTGAAGAGAAAAGATTTAAAAGAATTCTTGTTCATATACATTATAATATCGTGTACTTTTAACAGGCTATTTTTACATTCTTTTTTATTTTATCAATTGTTTGATTGTTGTTACTTTCGTAGGCTTGTAAAGAAAATGTTTTACACTTTGCCAAATCCACGCCTATTAGACGGGAAAGAGGACCTCGCAGAAGAAAATGTATAAAACGTTCGATGGTTACATCGACCCCTTTGCATCGTGCTCCACCAATAGACACAGTTATTGTAAGTTGTCGGAAAAATACGATAAAGATAGTTCCCGAAATTATTATAATGTAACACGTACGTTTTTTTCTAGTCTGCTAAAAACGCGTCGCCATCGAAAGTTTCGGAGGAATCCAAGGAAAATTGGAATGTAGGATCTACTCTGCCTCTTTGCTCGTCTGTAACGAATACGGACTCGCGTAGTTTAATGATACCGCCGGTACATGACTTGAAATCTTCCATACCAAGTGTATCTTCACTGGCGTGTCTAATGCCTCCGGTATCTCTAGGATCGCAGTCAGATCTCACGTGTTTGCTTGATGATGAGGGAAACAAGAACAATGGTACTCGTATACTTACGTACGCTTGTGTGGTCAACTTATCTTAATTTATATTTTTTACGTTTTCTCTTTCCCTTCTTTTTTTTTCTTACAGATACTACACTACCGTCATCGATACACTACTCCTCCTTATACGCACATGCCGAAACGTCTGCGGAATATTACAGTTTGATGCACTCAACGTCGATATACAACGTCCGTACCGCGTACAACTCGTCCGACAAATACTTGCCGAACGGAGGAAAGTACTCGCTAATCGATAACAATGAAAACCGCAGTGATCTCCCAAAAGATCAATATGCTATTGAAACAGACCCAACAAAATATGAAACAACTGCTGGATATCCCAGTACAAAATACAGTATACCAGCAAGTATGTACAATATAAATCCTCATCATCCATCTGATACGAATGGCAATCTTAGTGACAAATATGATTCCGAGGACGTCGACAGTCGTTATCACGAGGTTGAATACATGGAGGTGGGTAGCGAGGAGATAGTAGAATCTTGCGATGTAGAGAACATGGTTACTCAAGTTCAGGAAGATTGGGAGCCATTCGATCCTTATGTCTTCATCAAGCACTTACCGCCTCTTACGCCGGCGATGAGAGCGAGATGTCCGGCTCTGCCACTCAAAACACGGAGCAGTCCGGAATTCAGTCTGGTCCTGGATTTGGTATGCTCGTTCGACACACTCGGAACAAGTACACATATACACGTAGATAAAAATTTTAACACATACATTTAGACATTGCCTAAATATTTAGGCAAATACAGATGTAGATGTTATCATTTAGAAATAATACAATTGATGTATAATATATCAATTGTATACTATATTGTAGTTTTATGTTGTTTCTACATGATGAAAGTTCATAACATTTCTGTTCCTATATATACACTTACGATATAAGAGGAGGGATTAACAGCTACATTTATCTATGATCCTTTTGCAGGATGAAACATTGGTTCACTGCAGTCTGCAAGAACTATCTGACGCAGCATTTCGCTTCCCAGTAGTCTTTCAAGACGTAACGTACACAGTATTCGTTAGAACGCGACCGTACTTTCGCGAATTCCTCGAACACGTCTCGTCGCTCTACGAGGTGATTTTATTCACGGCGAGCAAGCGAGTGTATGCCAACAAACTTATGAATTTACTGGATCCAACACGGAAGCTGATCAAGTATCGTCTGTTCAGGGAACACTGTGTTTGCGTTAATGGAAATTATATAAAAGACTTGTCCATCTTAGGCAGGGATCTATCTAAAACTGTCATTATTGACAACAGCCCGCAAGCATTTGGATATCAGGTAACTTAATAGCTTCTCATTCATATATACGTATATCTGACATCACTAATAATATATGCTTATTACAACTATGTATGTTTTGTACTGCAGCTAGAAAATGGTATACCTATAGAAAGTTGGTTTGCCGATCGTTCAGATAATGAACTAATGAAATTATTACCATTTTTAGAAAACTTGGTAAACTGGGTAAGTTCTTGTATATATCGCATATATTCTCTGATGTATTTTCTATTTTAAAGATAAAAGAATTCAGTTATTTAGTAATTTTTGAAATTAATTTTATATTGTAGGGAGGTGATGTAAGGCCACGCATTAGAGAACAGTTTCGACTATTCAGCTTTCTACCACCGGATTAATTTAAATAGCATACACATAAAATTTAAGGTTGTTGACGTGTCTCACACCAACAAAAAAAAAAAGGAAAATACAAAATATCTTAAAAGATACTAAATAGATAAATAATAGTTATTCCGCGCGCGATACGTAGCATAAGCAGCTATAATAATATAATACTTTACAATGTTTCACAAATGAATATATACCTGTTGGTATATAGAAATGAAATTAAATACTTTAAGATTTTGAAATTACTATTCTGATTCGTTCACAAAAAAAGTATTTGTGAACAAGGGTGTTGCATATGTGCGATTTTGTTAGTACATTTAGATTTGAAGTTTCAAGTTAAAAAATCAAATATCAAGAAAATATCAGCATAATAGTCTTGTGATTACTGTATAGTTTCTATTAATACTTCCAAGTGAAAACCAAGTCTCTCCATAACGTGATTGTACGACCTCTGTGTATATAATGAGACTCGTATCTTTTACGTAAAAATATTATTTCACAACTATTATCATAACACAATATTTAAGAGCAATATATTTGTGATTGACAATTGATTAATTTTTCCTTTACCAATATATGGAATTTACGATCTCTGTTTATATCTTATTATTTCAGATTTTTAAAATGTTTTTAAATTTTATTTAAAATCTTTTATTTTTATACACATTCTTTTTCTCCTGATTTTATATTCTGTTTTAATTATATAAATTATATTTTAAAACAATTTTTTAATCTGTACATCTAGATTGCAATTCGTAAAAGTTCTTGAAAAAAATATATATACATTATATGTATATATATATATATATACGAAGATGTTAAGAATATCTGTCAATAATTATATAATTATGCGCATCATATAGTTATATAATTATACACGATTACATGTGCTACATTATAAATTTGTGTATAATTCATAATATAAGTATAGACCGAATTCAGTATCAAAAAGAACAGAATTAGCAGCATCGCAGAAATCTTACATCTCGTAGTGTTTATCATAGTTTAAGGATATACTCACATTATGCACAAACACATAATAATAATAAAGCAAATTGATTGTTATTCGTGAAATTATTTGGATCACGTATAGCTAATCACCCTAAGACTCTTAATGACAGTGTCAATAGGGAGTTTTTGCAATACCGTTTATCCTAGATACGGTGAACACTAAAGTCCTTTTCTTAATTAGATGTGAAGAAAAAGATAACGTGACTTTAGCGTTCACCGTATCTGGGATAAACGGTATTGCAAAAACTCCCTATTGTTACAAAACTGAAACTGACGACAGACCTAATATTAATAAAACAATGAGGGGTATAAATAGACAGATTTCTCTTGATTTGCGTTTCAACGGTGCAATGACTGAAACGCTGGAGACAAGAAATATATTGAACATTAACAGAGACTCAGAGAAAGATTATATTCAAATTTTACAAGCTCATCATTACATATATACAAGATGTATACAACGAAAATTACCTCTCCCGTATCTGTATACAACAGACAAAAATGGAGATTGGTGTATTGACTAGAAAATTGTCCCTCCCTGCATCTACATTACTGTAGATGTATGATATACTTTAACGTAACAGTGGGCGCTTAACAATATACATAATATCATTAATTACATACTTGAATAAAATAATTATAAATATATAGAAAAACGTATATAAATATCACCAGGAACATTGATATGACATAATCGGCGGTACATTTTATGAACACGAGATTTACTAGATACCTAGTTAATAGCTTCCGAAACCGTGCTTCAACACGTTTTAACATACTTTTATTGCCTGACATTGGGATATTACGTTTGAATTTAGTTTAGATAAAAGTCGTTGTTTTCTTTTAATCGATATCCTCGGTACAGTTGGATCATTGGCTTAATTCTTGAACTCCAGCGTTTCATTAGTCTGACTGTCTATAGCTTGAGGAGAAAAAAAGCTGAAAAATGTTATGTGCAATATTACGCATTTAAAAGACATTATCATGGAATGATCAACTTTAATATACATATATATCTCATGTGTTATTATAACAACAGTCTAAAACATGAAAGTGTACTACGTGTCATGCTTCAACATTACTCGCACTTCAGATATATCCATCTTGCGGCAAGAAGAAATAAAATACTATTTTTAGACATTTTTTCTTTAGTAACACAAATTAACACAAGCATCGTTCTGTTTTTCTTATTCATGGAATTGCCACAAAAAACAGAACAATATTTGTATTACTTGTGTCACTAAACAGAAAGCATCCTTTGTCAACAGCGTATCGTTATTGAGAGTCGAAAGTTATTTTATTGAATGTTACATAGATTTTCCTTGATATGATCATCCTTGGTAGTGTTGGTGGCAAAGCACAGGAACTTCAATTTATGATGAACATAATCGGTGTACCGCAACTCGATGTATCTGAAGTCCGAGTAAAGTTCTATCTAATCCTCTGTACGCTGGAAATACCTAATCTCGATGCGTTTACAGAGATTCACAAGCTTCGGATGATCCTGTACGATCGTAGCCAGCTTGTCATCAAGTAGTGGCGTCGTGATTATTGTGAATATGTGACCAAAAACCAAAGCGTCCAACTCATTCGGTTTGCTACATATAAAATGTGAAAAAAATCTTGTTAATATTGCATCTTGCGGTCGATATATATATATATATATCTAGAAAATCTATATTTAGAAAATCATTACATATTTACTTAGAACAACTAGATATATTTTGCTAATTTATTGATAATGTGAAAGAATGCTCGGAAAGAGGAGGAAGCGATTCGGGCTGCGATCAAAAGCCATCCCATAGAGTGTCCTTGGAGGATGACTCAATTATTTCAAACTCTTCCGCAATCTCGTTTCGTATTCCCAAATTAAAGTAGCGGTGTTCGATTCTGAACATGTGCTCTATAAGCTTGGGAAACTGATGGATCGTGGCAACAATGTCTTCATTGGAAGGGAAGAAAGGTGACGTGAGAGTGTAAATATGACCGTATACCAGGGCATCGACTTCGGTAGGTCTTATGGAACAGGATTGTAACTTATTAAGTGTCAATTGAATCGATAACAAAAAGGAGTGAAAAGAAGTATAATTACTACTTACTCTTTCCCAAAGAAAAATTCTTCGTCTGCTAGCCTCTCAGATAATGCTATGCAACACTTCTTTACGTCGTCAAAAACTTCATCCAAACTTTTGTTGTACCAGCCAAGTACGCTGAGTTTTTTTATAACTTCTCGTCTCTTCTGCCAATTCAAATAATGATTAAGTGGCCAAGGGTATACACTTCCATGCCTCTGCTTTGTAACATTTAAAATCGCTGGGTCTACCCAGCAGATGTATAGCTCAGCATTAACAAATACGTTGTTAACAAGAGACTGGTATGCCCTCATATCCACTTTGCCGTCAGGATCCAGATGATCGGAGAGACTTATTCCTTTACTTCCTATATGTGCCACTATACCATCAAATTCAGATATTAACTTTGTGCCACACTTTATGAATGGCACGCGGCCCGACGGTGACATAAATTCCGCATTCTTCCTCGGTTCTATTTGAAAATCGAGCTGACACATCTTGAGGAAAGCCTGTACTGCCAGACAGTTTGCATTGTCGGGAAGCAGAATCTGCTCGACCTCGTAAGGTTGATATAAGGTAATCGGTTGTGGCCATGGTTCCTGAGCTACGACAAGAGAGTGCAATCGTTAGCAACGTGCACACAAGGTGATTTTGTGTGTGTTCACCTATATTCTCTAATGACACTTACATAATCTGTGCTCGTATGAATATACGTGCGAAAAAGTAACGAGTGAAAAGCTATGATGTAAGGGAAAAACACGGGACGATTGAGGTACGGTCGAATAGTTGGGTATTTACGAATTTGACGGTGCACACAAGGCTGAATTGTGCGGTTTACAGTGTTTTGTTTACAATTTTGTTGATGCAAGGTTAGATCCCTCATGCGGGATATGTAGGGACAATGATTTGGACAATGCGATTAAACGGAATTTCCTGACATTACCTTCCAATTCCACCGCAATCGAATCGCCCAGTAATACGTGTGGCATATCTACGACAATCGTACGATGACGATAACGACTCTGCTACCTCAAGATCCACAACCGATCGCTCGCGTAAAAGCGCCACGAACGAGAAGCAAGCACGCTCTATCTACACTTTCTCCCTTACTTCGGATCTACAATAGATGTTTCAAGCCTTAAGCCGTAAGAAATTTAACTAATTACAGTCGAATTCGAGGAGAATAATTGATTATGATACGTCCATTTCTTAAGGCTAAAACTCTATTGTAGATCCGCGCGGAGTTACGGCCTTACTAAAATATATATATTTACACATCTTACGCAAAATAAAGCCGACAGAAGTTGGATCAAAATTATAAAAAATTCAACTATATTTTGATTAATTTAATCAGCAATATATATTTTAATATATCAAATGATATACTTTTAGTATTTCGATAATGTAGATGAAATTATACGGAAAAAAGTTTAAATTTACGTTAAATATATACAGTTAAAAGCTTGCTGGCTTCTTCTCAATTACCAATTACTTAAATTAATTGGAATTTAATCGAAAGTCACATTTACCGTGTAAATTAATAAAACATCGCTCGAGATACTCCCTCGTGGAAATACCTCCCGCGGTTTCTTCCGTGTCGACTTGAGATTTCTCCTGAATCAATAATGCGAACAGAATAATAAATTACATCTTTTACAATTAAATCTTTGTCTCAGTTATATTATTCAATGTGTGAAATCGTATATTATTTATCGTGTTAATTATATTATATTATTATTCGTTTAAAAGTAACCTTTGAGGACTTGATGCCAGACAGAAATGCATGCAGGACACGTGCGTGCAAAGACAAATTATCTTTCTTTTCGATATCTTGAAACTCGTTCCGATAAGAACACATGGTCGTTAAACAAGGAGTTCGCATTTCCTTCTTGATAAAAGACTTGTAATTTTCCACCGCGGTATAAATTTTGGTCGACGTTTTATAGTTGCGAAGTATTTTTTTTTTTTCTTAGAAATGAAATTGGCGAGCAATATCATTGGTGAACTAAAAAAAAAAAGAACAAAGATAAAGGAAATTTACGAACTGAATTATTGTGTAGATATTACTGAAACAAGGTGAAAACTACAAAAGTGAACAAATTTATTAGAATATTTATAATTTCACTGGTCAATATCTAGAATATTTGTTTATTTTTGTAAAACTTTTCTACACTATACAATATTATACATACCTTTGTTTCAAAATATGTAATTGATCCTCGCCTTGATAGAGATCACCAAGGTTTTGAACATTTATACTATACAATTATTTATTGCAATATGTATTTAGATATATTGGAAATTTGTATTCGAGTTTACGTATTTAAATTATATATATGTGTATATATATATATATATATAATATATATGTAAATAAAAACTTCAGCTCTTATATGTCAAGTTTATAATCAGATAAACTTACCATTTTTTAACCGTTATTTCTACCATACGTTTCGTTACCCATAGAATACAAACTACACATTGCAGCAATATATATAGGTACTATATTATAATTCTTTTTAACTAGAATTGATAAAAACCATGTTTTAAACGTGTTTTTAACTATTTAAAATTGATGCTTAATCGATGCTTTTAACATGTTAAAATAAAACAATATAATGTTTTGTTTAAAACAAAGACATTTTTTTTTACCAATCCTGTTTTTGTATAAATAATATATATAGCAATCGCGTATTGCAAATTGCAGATTCTTTTATCGCCACCGACAAACATATATATATATATTATATTATATGCTTTATACTATGTCAAGATCGATCGAATGGGGGAGAACCTTTCGGGTACTCCGGAGTCATGGGGGGCGGAAGGGGAAACGCTCTGAACGTTGAAGCATGTTTGTGATTGATCGGATTAATTGTGGAGAACGATTGGTATGCGTGACGTTTGTCGCCTGGCGCCGCGCCGCGCCGTCACGCGATCTCATTGGCCCGCGAGAGCGAAAATCGAATCAAATTCTATCGAGACGCGACAGTTGCCAATCCTGGAACCCATTTCACACTCGATTAGTGCCCATTTTTCTCTACACCAATATAGTTTATAATTTTAATCTCGGTTCAACTGACTCTTCATCTTTTTCTAATTTGTAGAAACGGAAAAACACGAAGAGCGAGTTGAGAGATTAAAGTTAATTTTTACATTGGTGGAAATGGGTATAAAAGAATCGTGTGGCAGAGAAAAGAAAAAGAAATAAAAAAACAGAGAAAAGGAAAAACGGAAAAGACGATTTAGCGTATAAACATTGGAAGATTAAAGGCGAACTGCAGTAATGTATATTAACAATCATCTCTATATTCTCTATATTAAAGCTTGAATTTTTTCGTTTTAAACAAGTCAAAATTTTGTTGTAAAAATTATTGCAAATATATATAAAAAATATATTTACATATATACAATTAATAGAATACGTGTAGATATATTTTAAAGAATCAGAATCGAAAGTTTCTTGGAAGCGTCGATGTCCTTCTCTCTTTCTCATCCTCCTCACGTCCGTCGTTCTGCATGTGCAGCATACGTGTGTGTGAATGCATATACATGTATGTGAGGATGAAGAGCACTGCGTTGCGCAAACGGCCCGCGCCGTCGGACGAGCAGCGGACCGCCAGTCTACCTAAACCCATCGCTCGCGCCACGTTATCCATCTTCCTGCGCTACGTTCAGAGTGTACTATACTTGTTGCTCATTCACGGGCCGCGCGCGGCGCAGTTCGTTGCTTCATTACGGGGCATAGACACAGAGGTGGGATAGAGCGAAGGAGGGTGCGAAGAAGTAGCGGCCGGTCGTGCGAGGAGAAGAGAAGGGAAGGAAAGGAAGTGGGAAAGAAAGGGAAGATTACACGCACCGGCCACGCACGGCTCTCCACGCGACACCTCCGTTGTCATACGTGCGGATCAACGCAAGCCGGGTGAGAAAGAGAGAGAGAGAGAGAGAGAGAGAGAGAAAAGCGCGTTTCGGTGACGATTGTCACGACGCTAATTATCGTCGTCTCGCGATCGTCACCGACATACGTCAGCACTCGACGGCGGGGCGGCCGCCGCGCCGGCCGGGCAGCCTCGATCGAACGATATGGCACGTATCCCCCCGGCTGGCGGCTATCTCCGCCGCGAGAGCTCGAAGCCCTGGCCTTCCTAACCTAAATTCTAAATTCTGTCAGTCGGCGCTGCTCCGATACGTCGAGGAAGGGGAAAGAGGGAGAAGAACGGCGACGAGGTTCTCCTTCTCGTTTCCTTCTCTCACTCCTTCATCTTCTCCTCATCTCCCACCTCGGCCGATTTTTTGACAGCTAAAAATACAGTTTTTGACGGTATGGTTACGTCGGGATTATTTCGGCACCCGCGCCGCCCCGGTAATTCTCAGCGGCCGTATTTTTCCGCATTTCCGAAGGTCCCTTCTCGCCGACGCGTGGAAATCCTTCGCGCGATGTCTTTTTTTTCCTCTCTTTGTAGAAAAAAAAGGATCTGCGCGGCAAAAAGGAGCGGCGCCCTGCGATTCGATCGAGGCGTAATTCGCGTTGTCTAGTTTCATTGCGTTTACTCAATTTACTGTCTCGAACTCGTGAGGATCGACGACACGCGCTAGTCTATCTGTTTATGTAAATAGAATATGCGACGACGGACTGTTAGCTGATCGAAAGAGGAAAAAAAGGCTAACGGACACTGCGTACCGGTGTCTAATCACAGATATATGAATGAACGAATACCAAAGTCACCGGAGATCGGATATTGATTTATTTTTAGCCGCGCGCACGTTATCAGTAGGTATCCCATCACTCGCGCACGTTATCGTATTTATGGGGACCATCCACAATTTATGGAAACCAATAATTATTCCTCCGACGGAATAAAATTGCACATATTTCTAACAGATTGTCATTGATCCTATTGAAAATTTCCCGCGTTTTCAGATGGATCCGATTACAGAACTTTTCACACTGCCTTTTAATCGGAGTTCTTAAGATAAAGTTCAAGCATATATGAGGGGGAAACAACAATTGTATAGATAAGCTGACAAATTTCTTACAGTTTTAGATTTGGACGTAAAATTTTTCACGCTCTCTCTTAGGCCTGATTGCACCAACGTGATTTCGATTTTAAGCAAAACTTAAACTGTCTCTGTCTCCCTTTCGGCTTTAAAACGAGATAGATAGAGTTTTAAGTCTCGCTTAAAATCAAAAAGTGTTGGTGCAACCGGGCCTTAGGCCGCAGTTTACATTAGATGTAGTAACCCTTATCTTTTGCTCCGAATTATGAATTCAATTTTGAGCTAATAAAATACCGCAGAACTTTTCCTCCAATCCAATATTTTAATCCAATTTTCAAGGGTTTAAGTTTAGCGATTCATTGTGTGTGTGTGTGTGTGTGTGTGTGTGGGGGGGGGGGGGGAAGAAAAAAATAAAACTTAAACTTCGAAAATGGGATTCAAATTTTATCTCGTTTAGGATTGTGTCATCTTACTCTAACATTTTTTTTTTTTTTTTTTTTTTCCCCGGATAAACCCAATGCTATATTTAGCCGTAATTTCTAAGCTTTAAATTGGTTAAGTTTCTACTGTAAAATTTCGAACTTAGAGCAAATTAACGTCAACTCAGAGCTTAATCAAAAGGCTAAGGGGTTACTCTATACGTCTATACCTATTATAGACCGAAGCTAATTGAGAATCCTAAGATACACGTAAAGCAGAAACAATTGCGCAAGTCAACAGACCCGATAAACTGAGCGAACCGAAGAACGCAATTCTCACGCGTAGGACGACGCAATTAATTAGCAAGTCGAGCCGTTTTCGGATTTCCGACAGAACAATCTGCGCGTTGCGTCGGTCCTTTTACGCAGAGACACGCACGAGATACCACGTCTAGATATACGTAGCGCGCGAACTCACGTGCGCGCGTATCAGCTTTATTTTAATCTCTTTCGCGCTCTTGAATGCCGAACGGCTCGTCATCTCATGGGGAAGTTAATCGTTATTTTATATTTAGCCGAGTTTAACTGCATAGTTTTATTGTGATGCGCGCACGAGAGTACGCTTTTAATATAGATTAGATGTTTATATATACATATAGTCGGCAGAAGAATGAGTCAGACAACATACATTGCATAAGATGTCGCGACGCTGGATGGGCCTATGTTCAGACTTAGCTACAGATTATCTACTTTTATCAATAAATACAACGTTGAACAGATATTTGTTCAACAAGTAGTGTACTTTATTC